CGCAGATAACCAACTGAAGGTGCGGCACGGGCCAGGCGCTGGGCACGGGGCTTCTGGGGTTTGTGAGTGAGAAACCCCCCAGGGCTGGGGCTGAGCAGGCTCGACCAGAACATAGACACGTGGCCCCAACACAAGACGGCCCATGTGATCTGTGCTAGAAAGTGCACAGCAGACACGGGGAGGAGGAGTGCATTCTCACTGGGATCTGGAAGAGGTCTGATGGGCCTGAGGCTTGGAAGGGCAAATTACACCAGCTCACCTGGATTCCGCTGGCCTCTGAGGACCGCTGTTTCCTGTTACCGCGTGCCTGACGTGCGCTAAGTGCTTCACTCATGGAGACTTGGTAAAGTTTCCTCCAATGACTCCATGAAGTGGGTGTGTTAGTGCCTCATTCTGCACATGAAGGAATGAGTTTGGAGATGTTAAGAAGCTAGGCCAGGTCACGCACCGGGTCTAGGTGTGAGGGCCCTTAACCACTGTGTGCAGAGCCAGGGATGGGGGGTGGGGGTCCTTTCGCTGAGGGCAGGCAGGTTTGGGGCACACACCACGCACTAGATATTGTGCCAAATAACCCTTTGCTCCACTTACCTGGCAGAATGCACCCCATCTGGAGGACACTGAACTTTGCACCTGCTCCGTATCGAACCTGCGCAGCTGACCGTGGCTGGAGAGGAAGGCAGGACGGACGAGGAGCCTCAGCCAGCCTCCTGCTGCGTGTCCCTGTTCCGAGGGCTCTCACAGCATGGGCCAGACCGGCAACATCCGCATCAGCGTCCCTCAGCTTGTCAGGGATGCAAACTCACCCCCGCCTGCCCCCAGCCCAGACCGCATGGCCGAACTCCAGTCTCCTGTCCAACTCACTACTGGATTCCCGCTTGGACATCGACCGGGCAGTTCACACCTAAGCATCCAAACCCCAAATCCTGGCCTTCCTCCCCCTCCCGCCCCACCCTGCGCTTGTTGGCCCAGGAAGGGGCGATTCTGTCCTGTTTGCTCAGGCCCAAAGAGTTGACTCTCTTCCTGTTTCTCTCACATCCCTCATCCAAGCCCCCAGTAAGTACTGCTGTCCCCTTGGACACAGACCCTACACCTCCTCACCCGGCCGCCCACTATCCTGGTGCACGTCACTACATCTCACGGGAGTTACTGTGATGTCCCCTCACCAGGTTCTCGCTTCCTCCCAACATTCTGAATGGTCCTGGTGAGTGTTAGGGCCGATTTCATCACTCGGTTGCTCACACCCTCATGTGGCTTCCTCCTTCCCGCCCAGAGTAAAATGGCCCCAAAGGGCCTGGAGGCCCGGCTCCCAGCCAGCCACCCAGGCGCCCCCGATTGCTGTGTTTTCAAATGTTCTTCAGGGGCCGCAGCGCATCCCTCACCCTTGAGCACGCTGGGCGCTTTAGAGACCAGGCAGGAGGACGAGATTAGCACGCACCAGGAGGTGGGCAGAAATGCCTCCACTTACACATAGCTTGGTATATTCAGGCCAGAAAAGGCACAGGAGCAGAACCTAGGTGGCTGATGACGTGACTCCTCCCCGGTGTTCTTCTTGGGAGTGCTCATCTGCGTTATGAAGTCAAATACCTTTCTCAGGGAAGGCCAAGGGAATTAACACTCTGGAGATGCCCTAGGACAGGCCTCCATCACGCGCAATGAGCAAATCCTTCCTGCCACAGCTAAGCCCTCACTTGCACCTTGTTCCTTCTCAATGAAAAGCACATCAACCTGTAACTGGGTCTTGCCGCCCTCCACACCCTTGCTGGCTCAGGAAAGCAGTTTTAAAAAGCCTATAAAAACAAGCAGAAGTTAACATTAACACGTGTCCCACCAACCTCACGCCTGCCAAGTACTCATGTTACATGAGACTTGCATGTGGGTCGCACCTGAAACTTTCTCCTTATCATCCTGTCTTCCTTCTCACACGTACCTCTGCGTCCTGGTGTCCAGGCCCCTGAAGCTTTCAGGCTTTCTACCCCCGTTTCCTGGCCCCACCAACAAGCCTTCAGCTCTCACAGCTTCAACTTTCTTCCTTCATTCGGCCCTTATCTGAGTCTGACACACACTATGTCTCACCCTTTGAGAAAACCTATCCTCTTAAATTGTTTTCCTACCTTTCCTTTCTTTTCATACTACTCGGCACCTCCAAAAGAGCACAGCCAACACTCAGGCCCCACTGTCCACTGGCCCCTCCGTCCCCCAGTCCCTCCATCCCATGGGCCCTCTGTCCCCCAGCCCTGCATCTCTCAGCCCCAAGCAGCCCTGACCTGGGATCAGACCTGAGCCTTTTTTCAGTTCTGAAGCCCCTGTCTCTGCCTGCTGTCGAGTCTGATGGCTTCCTGTCTTAACAGAACAAAGATGACAGTATCAGAGAATAAATATGGCCGACAACACCGCGAAGTATTAGATAGTGATTACAATAAAAGTTCACAAAGTTTTGTAGGGTGTTGGGGTATGTTTCCTGCATAAAGTTACGGGAACGCTGTGCACATGGCATCATCTCCAGTATATACTGGAGTACTAAAGTATTAAAGACTTAGAGGAAGTAAGAGTGGTTATTTCTCGATAGTGGGATAACAGGTTATTTCTGTTTTCTCCTTTACTATTTTTTGTATTTTACAATGAGCCTTTAAAACCTGGTGGAACCCAGGGGCCTGCCCCCTGCTGGCGGTCTCCGGCAGCAGCATCTGGGCAAATCCAACCCCCGGCAGGCTCTCCCTACCTGAACTCCCCTCACGGAGGCCTGTGTTTCGGGCCTGACTTCTGTAATTTTTTTTCCGTTTTGACATCCCTTTCTTATTTTGTCTTGTAAATATTTTCTTGCATATTTGTTTCAGGAATACATGTTAGGCCATAGCTATTTTCAAATGATTGCAATTCTTACAATTTGTGTCTCCTTCCAGACGCTTGTGCCCCCATCAGTCTTAGAACAGACTCTCACTGTGGGTCAGGGCGCTTGCGGGACCAGCCACAGGCCCCCGTGGAAGCGGGACAGGGAAGCACGGGTGCCATCAGCAGTCAGTGCCCCTGGTCACATCTGTGAGCGCTCCAGGACAGCCCCACGGAGGTCAGGTCTGGGGGCACAGGGCGCTCAGGAGGCCGCCACGGTGGTCTGGATGAGAACTTGAGGGCCAGATGAATGGAGTCACTCAGCAGGGCTTCCTACCCAAGAGGAGCCATGGACTTGTGGCTTCCAGCTTGAGTGGGCGGATTGCAGGGACATCACCGTGTTGGCCGATGCAAGCATGCACATAAGCAGGCTACCGACGAAGCTGGATTTTGTGGGACAGCCTAGGGCATTCAGGCAACAGAGACCAGGACTACAGAGGGTCCCCACAGTGGAGCAGTCGGACAGAGGACAGACGAGATGCTGGGAGCACACGCAGAGTGAGGACACACACTCAGGGGCACAATGGCTGTTCAGGATCGGCCTTGGAAGAGGTGCTCCCGCCAGAGACGGAGACAGACGTCAGAAAAACCCAGGTGTGTCTTATCAGCCGTGACGAGAAACGGGCTTCGGGAAGGCAGGACTGATTCAGACCAACAATCAAACTGACTGAAAGGATCAGTAACATGAGGGCTAAAAACACCTTGCTCGATGGGTAGTCAGGAAGACCCGGTGACCCTGCAGAGTGACAGCAAAGGGCTAGACTGCGGTGGGCAGGAAGCGTCCGTGGGGGAACCGGGTGGAGATGTCGGGATGCTGGAGGTGGAATAAACCTTAGAGGGGTCGCATCGTGCATGACCCAAGGGACCCCGAGAGACCAACTAGGCAGGGCACTCAGCACCAGATCCAGGATGCAGTCAGCGTTCAAGAGACACAAGTGACCCTTGTGTCACTTGTTGGCCACATAATAGTACCCGCTTCATGCCAGGTGCTGTCCTGAGACCTGTAGACACAGCGAGTGACCAAGACAAAATCCCCGCCCGGAGTCTACATCTCAGTGGGGGAGACATACAGTAAACGAAGAAAACGACTCAAAATGTGTAGCATATTTGGTGGTGGTTAAGTGCTGAGGAGAAGGCAAGGGAAAGGAGGTCCGGAGTGAAGGAGGGGGGGAGACAAAATTTTAGGTCGGGTGGCCTGGCGGGGGGGGCCTCCCTGGAAGGTCACAGAATTTTGAGACCAGAGCAAGTGAGACAGCCACAATTAGGAAGTGAGGGGCACGACTCCTTCCTGGCACGGCATCCCCACGTCCCCACAGGTGCCGACTGTTACTGGACCATCCGCACCGTCTCTGCCGCTGTCATCACCGGCCTTCGCGGCCCACACGTCACAAGGCATCAAGCTGGGACACGGCCTCATGCACCATGTCAGCCGCTAGTTTGTAAGGTGGAAGCATGGCTACAGATGTGAACGGACCGCACGGAGCCGCTGCCTCTCAGAACCCGCGTCGCATGCATGCGCAGAAAAGGCAGCCAGCACGACGCACATCCTCCCATCCCCCCGCATGCAACGGGACCATCTTCACGCCCAGGGGCAGCGACACGGGGACATCTCTGAAGCTCGAATTGGCACAGATGAACACCGATACGATTCAGGGGTCACGAGACACTTTTGTAACCGAGTGTCTCTCCCAGAACGTTTATCCGGTTGTTAAGACTAGGAATCAGCCATCATCTGGGAGGATGAAGAACCAGAAATTCCTGCTACAACAAACACGAGGACCAAGTGTTCCTCGTGACTGACACGTGGGATTTTCTAACAGACTGACTTGGGCTCATTATTCTCTGCCACTCAGAGAAAATGATCTTCAACCCAACCCCCCACCCGTCCCCCGAAAAAAAAGGAAAAAAGAAAAGAATCCAAATGCCTGAGGACTCATCCTGTCTTCAATCTGTTTCAACTGCCACAAAGTTTGTGGAGGTACAATGTCAAGTGGCCGTTCTGAACAGTCACAGGCCTTGGTGGGCAGGTGTTATGGACAGGAAATGTGACCTGTGGGTTTCAAGAACTCCATTCTTAAACTGGGGTGCCAGAAAGATTTTGAAAGTATCTTAGATGCATTTTTTTAGGTGTATTTATTACCCGAAAGAAGCCAACACAGAACCTAATAAAAATAACCTCAAGATTAAAATGTCATAGCTTAACTAGCAGTGCACAGAATATAGAAACATTTTCATTATTTCCTCCCAGATGTCTGTGTAAGCAGGTTGGAAGCATCTCCTTCCTGGCTCCAAAACCAAAGTGAAACCAATGTCATGGCCAAGAAAAAGTCTATGAAAGAAGAAAGTAAACAGGCAGGGGTGCCTGGGTGGCTTAGTCAGTTCAGCAGCCAGCTCTTGATGTTGGCTCGGGTCGCGGTTTGAGGGATCAAGCCCCGAGCTATGAGCGCGGAGCCCACTTGGGATTCTCTCTCGTCCTCTATCTCTGTATCGCACGTGCTCTCTAAAGAAGTAAGTAAATAAAAGAAAAAAGTAAACAGGCCAGTTATGTTTTATGGTTCACACAAATAGCCACTTCTTACCACTGCCTTACCCCATAGCATTAACCGTAGAACACATATGTGTAAATACATATGCTATACTGTATTCATGCAATTACGTGCATTTCTAAGGGTTCCAGACACCGACTTCATAATCATCTAATTTCACTTGCAGGGCAGAAAAAGCGAAATCCAGATTATGGAAGACTTAGGGCACTCCTGAGTCCAGATCTGCCCGTGTATGGGTCACACCTAGGATACCAGCCTCCTCAAGACCCGGGGGTAGAGGGGAGGCAGAGGCCGCTGGCTACTGACCGACTTCACTGAACTCCCCAAGCAGGATGTGAATCACCATGCATTTTGCTGTCCTCCTCAGAAATGCCCTCAGGACACCGCGCTGTGGTCGAAGCACTGAAGGGTGTCCGTGCTGCACGCGAGCTGCTGAGCCAGGGCACCCGTGTCGTCCCGAGAGTCCCTCAGCCCGGACCGCAGAAGGAGCTCGACACAAGCCGCGTGCTGGCCTGCGCAGGCCAGGTGCAGGGCTGCGTGGAGACAGAGGCCACACAAATCTGGCGTGGGACCCCTGGGGCGACGCCCACCTGGGGAGCAGCTATTCCTACAAACAACACCCCTTCGGCTACACAGAATTTCTGTATTCTGTAAATTTGTCTCTACGCCTTTGTCTCTACTAGATCAAAACATTTTTCCTTTTAACCTGATTGGGTTGGAAATGGTTTTAAAAACATCAACCAATTAGAAGACTTAACAGATCTGTCTACAGCAACCAAGCAATTTAACGAACGAGAAACAGGAGACTTGAAATGGCAAAGAAAAGACTTTCAAAGTTCTGTGAATTTTCCGTGTAAGTAGAAATACTGCCATAAATAAGAATGATGTGACAAAAAGAAAAACTGACACACCTTCCCTTGGAAAACTAGCACTGAAGGTTTCTGGCATCATGAGCCCCAGGATCCCGTGTTCTGCGGAGAAAAGTCTTGTGTCCCTGAACTTGGTGACTGTCCTCTGCAGCCTCGGAGGGAGTTTCTGAAGCATCACGAACGTATGGGCAAGGTATGCCGCCAGAGCACAGGGTGTTAAGGGGAGGGTTTATTCTAATGTCCGAATCCAGAGGATTAGCTCTGAAAGCATTTTTCTGAGCCCCAACTTTAAGAAATTATAGTGGTTTCAGTTTTCAAATACACTCGAAAGAGAGACAACCTAAGAAAAATCTGTACTACTGGGACAGCTGGCATCGCCGTGGATTAGGATAGAAAGTACGTCCACAGTGCACGCACGCGCTGCTGTGGTTCAAATACCGGTGATAACAACACAGTGGCAATGAGCAGCAGGCATCACCATTGCCATGGTAACAGCAACGTTCCCACAGCTTTGCCAACAGATGTTATTCGAAACAAAGCTTGCTGAGCTACTAGGGGCGTAACATGAAAGCCAGTGTTTTTAATAAGAAAGTCCGTGTACCGTTTACATCCAGTTTACTATTAACTTCCAAGGCATGTGTGAGAAGCCTACCTGATCGATTTCTTGCGTCTTTACAGTTGATGTCGGCACCCAAGGCTAAGAGCACCTGGACTGTGCTCACGTGTCCTTCCTGAGTGTTGAAATACACTTGTTATCACCGTGACAAGGACACAAGTGAGGCATTCAATGCTAATAATGCACGCTAGGTACTTCTTCTAAAATACTCAACTGCTAACACTGAATTCTCACCTCTAAAGGAAGATGCATGCGGCTCTCAAGTTCAAGTATAAACCGTTAAAGATTTTGGTGACATTTGGTTATTAAAATACAGAGGATCTACTCTCTAGGCCCAAATTATCGACTAATACAGCTGGGTTTCCTTCAGTGTAAGGAGTATATATCCGGATTTATACTGAACTTGCAATTTTGGGATCTCTCCAAGCAGCCTGTCCTGGATGGGAGTCTTGTTATGGCTCATGTCACCATTTACCAAGCACTTTACAGGTTTCCTGTCCAGCCAGCCAGCCAGCCAGTCAGTACGCAGTCAGTACACGGTGAGGCGGAAGTCAAGGTTGCACATTACAGTGTTAGGACCCACTGGCTTGAGCCCCCAGGGCCACCCCAACCCCCCCCCCCGCCCCACCCAATTCCTCCTGGGGGGACACCGGCAGGAGAGTGCAGTTCACAAGAAAAACATTTATTCCTGTTGCAGCCAGAAAAATAAGTAAAGCCGCTTAAGATAATACACAAAACACTCCTAACACTTAAAACGGTGCTGTAAGGAGCCACTTTTCTAGTGAAGACGTTTTGCACGTCTTAACCGTTTTCGAAGCAGAAGAGCCTCACAGAAATCTGAGCTGAAATCCAGTGTACGGACAGAGCACTAGGAATTTCACAGAATGAATTTTTTTGGCTTCGAATAACATTCCTGAAAACGGAAAGGCACAAAGGCGGAAAGGCAGGTGCGAACACAAAACGCAGGCGTTACTGAGTAGAGGTTTTACCCAGAGGCAAATAAGGGCAGGTTTCTATTTTAAGGGACACTTCAGGGGCAGGTCACGGGCAGTTCCTTCCCGCACAGAGATGGAACCAAAGAGACAGGGCCGCGAGCTGTCCGCCGCAGGGAAGGAACCGACCTTCGCCGCGTAGTGCAGTGCAGTGAGGTGGCCTGATGCTGCTCTCACGTCCACGTCCGTGCCGAGTTCACAGACCAAGAAGCGGATGGCTTCGTTCTGCCCAGTGAGCGCTGCCCTGTGGATGGCCTGCGCCCCCAGGGAATCCTGGGCAGACGCGCTGGCCTGGTAGCCGGGGGGCCCCCCCCCCGGAGAACAAAGGTAAGAAGCAAAGAGACCCGGTCCACGGACCTTCTGACATCTGGGCAAAACTTTGGACTTTGTAGGTTTTTCTGGGCAGATGGTAACACAGCTGGTGCCAGACCCTCGCAGGCTCTCCAACCAGACGGTGGGCACGCTCCAGCCGGAAGGGCACCCAGTGGGGGCAGTGAGACTGCCGCTCAGTGTTACATTATCTACTCCTCACAGGGACCCCCTGAAGAAATCACGTGTGCCACATCACAGACGGAAACACTAATGCTCCAGGAGGTCAAGGGGTCCCCCGGGGAGACCGTGGCGGAGCTGGGATTTGAACCAGGGATTGAACAACTATGCTCTTGGTTGTTCCCGGAGCTCAAACTTGTAGGAAAAAGCAAAGACATAAAACCACTTCCGTACCTGATGCTTTTCCAGCAGCAGCCTGGCTACGTCGATGTGGCCACACTGAAGCGCGTCCATGAAGGGTGTGGAGCCACACCTGTCCCTGCAGTCTGGTTGGTACTGGCCCCTGGAGTCCAAACCCACGGTAGGTGACGTGTGGTGCGGACGAGCTAGGACAATCTGCAGCGTGCTCCCCTCCCCTTTCTCCGGAGCCAGCCCACTGTCCCCTGCACCTCCGCTCCCCCTCTGACCTTCCTCCCCGTCCTACAGACCCTCATCTTTCCAGCTTCTTCTGCCAAAAGCTGGAGGTCACCCCTGATCCCTCATAACTGCTGTTACCAAAATCTCAGTTCCGTGTCCGAAACACAGCCTCCGACCCATCTTCCTCCCCTGGGCTCCTGCCCGTGAATCCATTCTCTTAGGTACCCTGGGTGTGGCCACGCCTGCTTAAAACTCGTATGGGCCAATCACAAAGGACAAAATCTAAAACGTCACAACCACGGGGTCAGGACATTGTGACATCCACCCCTCTCTCCAAGTTCCTTCCTTGAACCCTCCCTCCTCCCTGCGCTCACCACACCCCACCTCCTTCCTGATCCCCTTCCTCCCACCTTCTTCTTTGTCCCACCTCCTTCCTGGTCCTCCTCATCCCACCTTCTTCTCAGTCCTACTACCCACTTGTCCTACCTTCTTCAAACTCCTACCTGTTCTACCTTCATCTGGGTCCTGCCTTTTTCTGTTCCTACCTACCTTACTGTCCTATCGTTTCTGTTCTCACCTTCAGCCTATCCTCTTCCTGGTTCTGCTTTCTCAGTACTACCTTGTTCCATTCCGACCTGTCCTACTTTTTCTTAATTCAGCTTCCAAGGTGACCTTCTTCCTTTCCTACCTTCTCCACAGACCTGCCTCCTCCCATCTTCCTTGTTTACGGCACTACCAGTCCCACCTTCTTCCTCGTCCTCTTCTCAGTCCTGACTCCAAACGGACTGACCTTCTTCCCTTCCTATCATCACCACGGTCCTACCTCCTACCTGAGCTTTCTCCGTTTCTATCTTCCTTATGGTCCCAGCTGTGCTACTTCCTACCTGGTCTTCTTCTACTCCTACCATCTTCACAATCCCACCTCCACCTTCTAACACAGTCTTACCTCCCTCGTCCTCCTAACATTTTCCATTCTTATCTTCTCCATGGTCACAATTGTCCTACCTTCTTCCTGGTCCTCTCTTCCTTACAGTCCTACCACATCC